GATAAAGCAAACTAAGCAAATTTATAATTGTGAGCAAAAATTTATCACTGTATAGCAAAATTCATCACTCAATTAAGGAAATAAAGGTTATACACTGATAAAACTTGTTTCTCGAATAATTTCCTAGCACAGATGAAATGCCTAAATAATTTTCTACCAGAAATGTGACACCATGAAGATTAGGAAGAATTTATCACTCAATTAGGTAAACTAATGCTGTGTTTGGTTGGGGGATTTGAGGAGGGATTTGGAAAGGGAAATGGAAAAGGTAGGTGAAATGAGAATAAAATATGCCTAAATTTCACATAGTTTCACACACCTTTTCCCTTTTCCTTTCCAAATCCCTCCCCAAATCCTCCAACCAAACACAGCATTAGGGAAATTTATCACTAAATTAGGCAAATTAAGTAAATTTATAAGTGTGAGCAAAAATTTATCACTGCATAACAAAATCTATCATTCATTTAAGCAAAACAAAGGTTATCAATGCATACCACAATATTTTTCAGATCATGCAAGGATGAATTTGTCAATTGTTGTCCCAGATATGTGATGTTCCATTTTACAAATCTTGAGATTGCGTTCTTGTCATTTGGTTTGATGATGCTTGTATGCGCGCATATCTAATACCGTTGAGGAAAAAAAATGTTATAACTAAGTATTTACTAAATGTAAATATTACATCTTATAACTTGTAAGTGAGATATTTACTTACTAATAAGACCATCACACATCCAAAGACTTTATCGATTTGGTTCATGTTGCTTGCTATTGATCTTGTGAGCTGTTGTTCCGCTGCGCCACACCAATCATAAAACTTTATTCTATCAATATCCTCGATATATTTCATGAATCCCCAACCGATTATAGTCCCAGTGCTCGGATATAGCAAAAGCAAATAGATCAAGAGGCACACAAGCCTGACAACATCTTCTATATCCTCGTTGTTGTTACTTTCTAAAAGTTGAGTGATCAATTTTGTGATTGATGTTTTTGTCATTCTACTCTTTGTTATTCCTTCTTTTTACCAAATCTATCTCGTTTTTTCTTCCATATGAAAGATTCATCTTCTTGCGTTCGCATGCAATCCCAAAAATCAATTTAAAGTTATTACTTTTCAACTTTAACTTCTTACCACCTATTTTGAAAGTTTCTCCATCCATTTGGTAAGTGTGCAAGATTTTTGCAACCACATCATCATATTTCATAGAATCTCTTATTTTCACTTTGTTTTTACTCAATTTATCAACTAGAAGTGAAAAAGGAGTCTTTCTCAATAGTGCCAAATGCTCCTCTCTTAGTTTTGTTGTCTTGAAAAACTTGATAAGAGCTTGAATGTTAGAATGGTAGACATACTTTGCTTCATTATCATGTATCTGTTCAGTCCTAGTTTTTCTTTTATCAACCTTTTCCTTCCCTCTTGCTTTGTGCAGCTGTGTAGCTTGTTTCAGTTGCTATTGTTTGGTCTCCCCATGGTCAATGTTAGATTCACATTTGTAGACACCCCATTTTTGACCGTCCTCAAGACTTGGACGTCACTGTTTGAACACTCGGTGATCATCCATGTTTGTGTTCGTTTGGAGTTCCCGGAGGTCTCGGCTCGCGTGCCCTGCCTTAGGATCTCCGAACTTGACTGTTTAGTGTCTGGTTTTGCACCGAACACTCTTGTTTTGCCTTGGAGGGGCAGGGAATGCCTTGTGAGACATCCCCACACACCACCGGCAGCGGCTAGAGGCCACCGGCTGGTTTTTGCTGCCATCGGCACTTTTGTTTGCCAGTCGGCACATTTTATTGCCGGTCGGCATAGTTTGTTGCCGGTCAGCACTGTTTTTTGTCGAAGTGACATTTTTGGGCAGCCGACCACTGTTCATCCACTTTGTGGAGATATTTTGTGCCAGCTGTGATAGCTGGCACCAACTCTTCTCCCCTCCATCACGTGTATGGAGGGATCTCCCTCTAGCCAAGCTTGTTGTATAAGCTTTGCAAGAGGGAGTCCTATAAGAGAGGGGCTTTCCTCTTGGATCTAGGTTAGACTTTTGCAACCAAAAACCAGAGCTTAGAGATATAGATACATATTATCTCTATATCTCCCTCTCTCTCCTCCTTTGTGTGTGTTCCTTAGCTCAAAAGTGTGTTTTTACCTTACTTTTGCACCATTACACACACTATTACACCGCTCCGAGATTGAGGGACATCTTGCTTTATATTCCCCAAACTTGCAATAGTTTTTTACCTATCTTGCTTGCTGTTTTAGCTCTTGTGTATAACATGAAAAAGGCTTATATTTTCATGCTTTAGAACTTTCATTAAGGTCATTTTGTGGTTTGAGTGTAAACTCACTTTATTAGGCCTTGTTTGGTCACTTTTGTTGCCTCTTTGGTTAAGCTTTGGTCATCTTTGTATTTTGATCTCTTCACCACTGAAAATCAGTGTATTTTTAGTGTTAAAAAAGGTGGTTTGAAGTCTTGCATAGGGGATGGACACCCCTCTCCCTTCTTTGTTTTGTTTCCTTGCTTTTTGGCTTAAAAGGATAGCATGTGTGCTTGATCATTCTTGGCCTCATTTCAGAAGTTTTTTTAGGTGTTTTAGGTCATGTGTAACCTCTATTTTTGGCTGGATTTGTGCCTCCTTGTATTCTTATAATACTTGCTTTGTATTGCTCCATTTTGCTTGGAAGTGTATCTCATGATTAGGCCATGATTCTTGTGTGTGTTGGCTTGGTTCCATGAAGCTTTTAGTATTGTTTTTCCATGCTTAAAGTCTGTTGGTTATCCATTTGGCCATGCTTGACATGTTTGTTAGGGTTGCTTTGTATTTTGGCTTGAAAGCTTTGAGCATTTTGACCTCTAGCATGCATGGTTGTGATTACCCTCATGATTTAACATCATCTAGGACCACATTTTAGTCCAAGAATCATGTTTGTATGTGTGCATGCATGACCTCTTTTGTGCCTTAAGGGTGTACCCTCTTATGCCTAGGAATGAGCCTTAGTGCATATGCCTCTTGGGAGTCACTTTAGCTGCCATATTAGGGAGGTTTGGAGTCCTATCTTGGTCTGCAAAATTCTGTTTCTACTTGTTTCAATCATGCCATGAGAGGTCATGTTGGTGGGGGTAAGCTGTCTCCTTTTTGTGCCTTAACCTTGGGACCATAAGTTTGCTTGTTAACATGAGATGTTGCCCATCATTTTGAGCATTTTTTGGTGCTGTTTTGGGGTGGACTAAGGTCTGTCCCTTTATGGTTCGAGGCCTCATTGCATGCTTGTTTCATGTGTATTGCATGGTTGCTTCATTAAGCCTCATAGCATGCCAATCCCATTCCCAAATTGGTCTATGTTTGCATCACATTTGCACCTTGTATGCTTGGCATTACACATTTGTCATGTTGGTTGCATAGTACTTGTTTGTGTCTTGCATAATTGGTGTCATGTTGCATTTGAGCCTTGTGAGCATGACATGCATTGCATTCACTTGGTTTGGGGTGTCAAACCAAGTGTGGGAATCAAGGAACATTCATACTTCAAGTGATGTAATGTGCCTCGATTCCCGGTCACCGGGGCCTTTGACTCCAACTTGATAAGGCTTCGGATCCCATTTTGTTTATTGCATGCATCCTTACATCAAATGGCAAATTTGACTCTTTGAGCCACCATGCACCATTGATGGCTCGAGGGTCGAAGGTCATGCTTCTTTGAGTTCAAAACATGATAGGAAGCATAACCATGCTCACATGAACCTGAAAACCCCATGCCATGCACTGTCTGTTCCCTGTTTGCTGTCAAATTGTCTTCTGCAGGAAGTTTCTGCCGACCGGCAGAATTTGGTGCCGACCGGCAATCTCTGGAGTGCCGATGAATCCAACAAATGCCGGTGGAAATTTTGAAGTGCCGGTGGGAATTCTGTCCGGCCGGTGGTGCTCTGCAGCATGTGAGGAACCTGCTCCAGGACTTTGGTAATTTTCAGAGAGACAAGGCAGTACAAACAGAGGCGGCAGGAGTACGGTACGGGTTTTTCGGGCGAGTCAAGTTCCGAGCATGCATCATCTGCGCATCCCGAGGCAGAGGCTGCGTCCACCCTCTTCTTTCTTTTGCATCTTTTCTTTTAATTAATTAGAATTTTTGTAATAATTTTGTTTGTTTATTATTTGGGACTGTAATATTTTATTTGTTTATTATTTTGGGACCGTAATATTCATTTGGACCCTCTGAGTGAGGGTAAATATGTAATAAGTGTGGGTGAGTACTAAATGTAAATATTACATCTTATAACTTGTAAGTGAGATATTTACTTACTAATAAGACCATCACACATCCAAAGACTTTATCGATTTGGTTCATGTTGCTTGCTATTGATCTTGTGAGCTTGTGAGCTGTTGTTCCGCTGCGCCACACCAATCATAAAACTTTATTCTATCATTATCCTCGATATATTTCATGAATCCCCAACCGATTATAGTCCCAATGCTCGGATATAGCAAAAGCAAACAGATCAAGAGGCACACAAGCCTGACAACATCTTCTATATCCTCATTGTTGTTACTTTCTAAAAGTTGAGTGATCAATTTTGTGATTGATGTTCTTGTCATTCTACTCTTTGTTATTTCCTTCTTTTCACCAAATCTATCTCGTTTTTTCTTCCATATGATTCATCTTCTTGCGTTCGCATGCAATCCCAAAAATCAATTTAAAGTTATTACTTTCAACTTTAACTTCTTACCACCTATTTTGAAAGTTTCTCCATCCATTTGGTAAGTGTGCAAGATTTTTGCAGCCACATCATCATATTTCATAGAATCTCTTATTTTTACCTTGTTTTTACTCAATTTATCAACTAGAAGTGAAAAAGGAGTCTTTCTCAATAGTGCCAAATGCTCCTCTCGTAGTTTTGTTGTCTTGAAAAACTTGATAAGAGCTTGAATGTTAGAATGGTAGACATACTTTGCTTCATTATCATGTATCGGTTCAGCCCTAGTTTTTCTTTTATCAACCTTTTCCTTCCCTCTTGCTTTGGGCAGCTGTGTAGCTTGTTTCAGTTGCTATTGTTTGGTCTCCCCATGGTCAATGTTAGATTCACATTCAACTTCTACTTGATTTTCACTCGTATCTGTTGTTGGCTCTATAACACACTCAACTATGTCAATCTTTTTCTTCTTTGAGAAACTTGTTTCTTGATGACGTAATCTTCTATGATGACTAGGAACATCTGTAAAAAAACATCGAGTATAAATATTGAAGATTAAGAAGAATTTATCACTGAACAAGGCAAACTAAGAAGAATTTATCACTCAATTATGCAAATTAAGCAAATATATAACTGTAGAGAAAAGTTTAGATTCCAAATTGCAAAAGAACATGAAGATATCATGATGAAGATGAAAACGATTGATAATTTACCATTTCATGAGGCAAAGTCAGCAAATTTTATCACTGAATTAGGCAAAGTAAGCAAATCCATCATTATAACAAATTTTATCACTGAATTAGGCAAATTAAGCAAATCTATCATTGTTATAACGAATTTCATCACTGAAGTAGGCAAAGTAAGCAAATTCGTCATTGTATAGCAAATTTTATCACTCAATTAGGAAAATTAAGCAAATCTATCATTGTTATAGCAAATTTTATCACTGAATTAGGCAAAGTAAGCAAATCTGTCATTGTATAGGAAATTTTATTACTAAATTAGCAAAAGTAAGCAAATCCATCATTGTATAGCAAATGAACATGAAGATATGATTATGAAGTTGAATATCACTGATAAATTAATATTGTATAACACACATTGAAAATAGCTTAAAGTCAAATTTTATCACTTAAGTATGGTTATGAAAGAAGAAGGGAACATGAGTATGACTCACGTTTGATTGGCATGCTTGTTGAAGATGAACTAAACAAGAGAGTAGGTGTTCGAATCGGAATATAGATTGAAACGGTGAGAGATTTGCTGGAGATCTATTCAGAATCAGTATGAAAACAGTTGGCAATTTCTTTGGAAACGGTGGGAGATTGGCCGAAAATCTCTTCGTTTGTTCCGATTTCCAAATCTTCACACGTTTGTGTGCAATAGAACCCTTGAAAAGGCGCGTGCGCGCGCAAGGGAGAACTCATGATCACCTTCTTTGCTTCACGCGTGTGGTGTGATATTGAAGGGTAAAATTGGAAACGGAAATAGGACAAGAGTTTACTGGTATTAAGTTACTTCCATGGGACCGGCCCGTAAGTCCCCTTTCTATTTGCACCCAAAAAATTATTAAATACGTCCAATTTCTTGATACACACTAATATTATAGGACCGATTCATATTTAAAAAAACAAAATAGAAAAAAATGGTCTACCATCCCCCTTTAACTTTTAGTAATGGGAAAGGTCCACAATAATTTTTTTTGTAATCTAAGGTCCCTCACCCACACCCATATATAACACTCTCTCGCTCATTCTCTCTTCTCAATCTTCTCGCACCAAAAAACCCCTCTTCTCTCTCTCTCAATCCAGAGTTTGATACAGAAGTAGAGCAATCCATATCTTCTTCATGATCTCTCACACCACAAAGCATCTAACTTTCATCATTTTCCTCAATCGCATGATCATCTTGGCATCAATCTATTACAAAATCCAATCCACTTTGATCTAAATTATCACTTTCTTCAATTTGATCATCATTATCATCATTATCATCATTCAAATTTGCGACAGCGTTGGATCATCTATCAGATTTTGACCTGCTAGAGCTCTTCTTTGTATCAAACTAGAACTATTACTATCCTCCTCATGTTTTGTGTTGTTCAAGCATATTCCTGCAAAGATTCCCATCTCATTCATAGCCCCGCCGCTACCTGTTCCAGAGTCAAACAACTGGGTGATTTCTTGTGGGCTTTTTTACAGCATTGGGTTATTGAATCCTCCTCCTCCATCATTGATCCCTACTAGATTTGACTGATCATTTTGTGTTTGAAAGTGTTCATATAAGTTGTTAAGGGTGTGCACGATGCGGGTCGGTGCGGTTTAAAAGAAAAATATAAACCGTATGACGAGTGACAGATTGATAAAAGTGTCATTAGAATTCACCATTTTTCTTACTAAAAACCTGCGGTTCGGTTAGCAAATAATGGCGGATTTGCCTTGGCAGTTCGGGCGGATTGGTGGTTTATAAAAAATATAATTCAAATTACAAAACTTGAATCAAAGAGTAAAAAGATCTATTTTATAAATTAACTGAAATAGTCAAAATTAAAAGATTCATCTAATATGACATTAAATATTAAACAAACTAGTAAACTAAAATCCAACAATCTAAACAAATTATACAATAACAATTTAACAAGGCAATAATACTAAAAAACATAATATCATCCAACATCCAACATCCAACATAGTTCTAAAAAAAGTTCTCAAAAGTTAATCTAATCATCAAAGTCCACAAATAATCCAAAAGTTCAAAAAGTTAATTTACTCATCAAACTCCACAATAACTTCAATCATTCACAATTGCTTCAACCAAACTCTAAAAACTTCATTAATCTATAGACATACGCAAAGAAAACATAAATAAATAACAAAAAACTATCGTCAAAATCATTATAAAAAAAAAAAACCAATACAACAAAATAATATTTAAGAGTAAGAATTAAGTCTAACCTCAAGAACTTTAAAACCAAACTAACTTTGAGACAAATTAGTCCTCAATAATAGTTTCTTCTTGTGTAGTAGATGATGCAAAAAATTCTAAAAAATAAAAAATATTTTTAATGTGATTCAAAATTACATAAAAGCTAAAATCAATATTGAATAATTAATTTAAAATAAACACAAATAAAAAAAGGTTACCTAACTCAATTTCTTTATATTGTTCAACATCATCCATACATTCTCTAAGATTGATTGGAATTGATGAAGATCGTAACCAATTTTGTGCACAAATTAGAGCCTCCACCATCTTTAGCGTCAAAGAACTCCTAAATGGATCAAGCACACGTCCACTAGTACTAAAAGCTGACTCATAAGCCACTATAGAAATTGGATAGCCAACACATCTCTTACTATTAGAGAAAGAACCTTATACTTATTGCCATTAACCTTCCACCAATTCAAAATATCAAAGTTTGGAACTCTTGGGTCTACACAATCATTAACCAAATATTTTTCCAACTCTGACTCATTCTCCACACTTTTTTTCGACTCTAAATGGTTAATATATTCAGAGGCAAAGAGTGTCATGGGATCTTTCTCTTCCTCTTCATCAACTTCCAACACTTGAGGAGCTTTACTTGAATTTGAAGGTGCAACATTATCAACATTGTTCTTTTCAACATAATGATCAAACAAGCACTCTAATGTTGTCTTTACCTCGCCACTAAAATTTCTACCTTGTCATTTTCATACACTATTGAATGAAAACATAAGATATGTCAATTTGTAGCGAGGGTCTAACACAACGGAAACATATGACCAGACATTGATAATATCAAGATTTGCCCAATATTTGTCGTATTTCAATTTCATTTTATCAACCATGTTACTTAATACTACATCTCCACTTTTACTCAATTGAACTAATTTGGATTGCACCGATACAAGTTGATGAAAAACAAAAAAACATTAGATGTCACATGCAAAGACCTTGAAAGTTGCAAAGTCACATGATAAAAAGTCTTAAAAATTTCACAAAGACTCTAGCTACCTCCCAATCTTCTTCTTTAAGATGTGAAATGAATCTTTTTCCTTTCCCTTTGCCTCTTCCACCATTATTCTCATTTGCATTCTCATTTTCATAATTATTCTCCATGAAAAATAACTTGAATCGTGGGTCATCCTCTTCTAAACACTCAAAAGCTTTTTGGAATTTCTCGACTACCTCCAACATCAAATAGGTGGAATTCCACCTTGTTAGAACATCAAGGCATAGCAAACTTTTACAAATAATCTTTTTATGTTCCACACAATTTTTAAAAGTTTGTAGCCTAGCTGGAGATGACTTTACATATTTCACAGCTTTTCAAATCTTGGCAATTGAGTGATTTTGTTCTTTTAAACCATCACAAACAATTAAATTCACTATGTGTGCACAAATTCTCATATACAAAAACTTATTTGCTAAAATAGTGGAATGCCAATCTTTGGTTCTTCTCTTTAAAAATGTAATAGCACCATCATTAAAGCTTGCATTATCAACTGTAATAGTGAAAATTTTATCAATCCCCCAGTCTTGCAAGCATTTGTCTAATTGTTTGCCAATTGTCTCACCCTTATGATTAGAAACTATACAAAAACTAAGAATTCTTTTGTGCAAATTCCAATCATTATCAATCCAATGGGCGGTGACACACATATAATTTAGATTTTGAATTGACGTCCAAGTGTCAGTGATTAGGCATACTCGTTGTTTCTTTAGAACTTTCTTCAATTTTTGTTTTTCATCAATAAATAAGTTCAGACAATCACAAGCAACAGTAATGTGAGAAGGGATAGGAAACTTAGGTTGCATAACTAAACAAAAATTTCTAAACGCTTCCTTCTCCACATGCCTAAAAGGTAATTCATCAATTATAATCATCTCTGCTATTCCTACAAAGTTTTTCATCATATCCTACTACTTTGAGAGATCCAATCCTTCGACCATTATATTCCTTCTCCTCTCCTTATTTTTTAACAAAAGAGAGAGTTTTTTTGTTTTTTTGTCCACTTCGCTAATAGGAAACTTCATACATTCATATTACTAGTCTCATCTTGTTTTCTATGAGCACCATAATCCTTACCACAATAATTACAAGCAGCCTAGGTTTATCAGGCTCACAATCATCAAATAAGGTGAAGTGTTTCCAAACATCAGATTTCTTTTTATCTAAATTAATACTAGGGCATGGACGAGTTTTACCAAAAATTTTGGCAGGCATTGTGGTAGTGTTAGAACTAGCAACAGTAGTTGATTCTGCAATTGGTGCAGGAGGGTTTCCACTAGCAAAGCAACAATCATTTGTATTTCCCTTATCATCAATTTTCTATTACAAAATAAAAAAATTACATGAATGATTAGTAAATAAATAAAAATTATCAATATGACTTTACATATAGATAAAAATTATCAATGATGATAAGTATGTATAAATAAAAATTATCAGTGAGTTACTTATATATATAAATATCAATGATTATATATATATATATAGAATGGAGGGAGTATATGTATATAGAGCAGCGGGAAAAAAGAACAAAGAGAGAGTAGTGAGAGAAAAGAAAAAAGCAGAGAGAGGGAGAGATCAGCGAGAGAAAAGAAAAAAACAGAGAGAGAGAGAGAAATCAATGAGAAAAAAGAATAGAGAGAGAGTAGCGAGAAAGAGCAGAGAGAGAGCAACGAGAGAAAACAGAGAGAGAGAGAGAGGGGGGGAAAAAAAAGCCACGTACCAACGCGACGACGACGAGTAGGCAGCGCCGATCGGCGAGGGAAGAAGACAGCAGTGGCAACAGTGAAGAGAGGCTAACAGCGGTGGTGAGGAGAGGCTAACAGTGGCGGTGACAACTGATCGGCAAGGTAATGAAGAGGAATGAGACGAGATGTTGTGCATAGCGGTGATGAATCGATGATGAATGAGATGAAATATGGGTGTCAATTAGGTTTAATTGAGGAATTATGTGTGTATGAGTATATGTATGATAGATGTGTGTGTGTGTAATCTATGGCTGGAATTTCACTTGTTGTGTGTGTGTATAACAAGGGATTATTATTTGAAACAATAAGTGGGTGGGGTTGGGTTGTACTGCGGGTTGGAAAATTCCACCCGCTACCAGCGCCCATTCGCCAGACCTAGGACCCCAACCCGCCCAACCTGCCCGCCAGAGTTGAAAAATTATGCGGTTTGAAGTGATTCAGTGCGGTTTTGGCGGTATTATGCACAACCCTATGAGTTGTTATGCTTCTGAATTGCGCCATACGATGATGAAGGTCTCATGCCATGTTGATCCGAACCTACTATGCTGCTGACAAAGCTCTTCTACGTCATTGGTGAGTTGATGTTATTACTTGGGTAGTAGGGATCGATCTCTAGTGTAGTTTCTGATTTAGTGCAAGTACTACTAATTCTAAAGATGCAAATTAGGGAAAGTTTCTCTGGTTTGGTTAAAACAATTTTCTCTGGTTTAAAATTGTGAACAAACACAAAAAAATGTTTGCTAAAATATCTTTGATTTTGTTAAAACAATTTTCTCTAGTTTAAAATCATTGTGCTAAAATTTCTCTGGTTTTAGTTAAAACAAAGCCAGAGAAATTTAAATTCTCTGTGAACAAAGCCAGAGAAATATCAATTTTCTCTGGATTTCTCTGGTTTGAACTTAGAGAAATTTCAAATTTTCTAGATCGATTTGTGTATTGCACATCGTGATTGGAAAGGGAGAGAAATTTTCTGATTTGAAGCCAGAGAAACTCTTACAAAAACTAGAGAAATTCTTTGGAAATCTAGAGAAAATCTCTACACTGGAATCCATAGAAATTCTCTGGGAAGTCCATAAAAATTCTCAGGATTGAATTTTCTCTGAATCGATGTTAATGAATCTTAAACAATATGAAAATATTGAATGTCCTTTATGCAATAAAATCTTAATACCAGGGACCCTAAAAAAAATTTCCCAAAAAATATTTATGTTTCATAATTGACTAAGAATATTTGCACAATTACGGAAAAACCTATTTCATAATTGACTGAGAATGTTCATGTAATTACAAAAAAAAACCTATTTAATAAATGACTAAGAATGTTCACATAATTACGAAAAAATCTTCATTCAACATATAAGCCCCCATTTGTAAATTATTCATTATTCAAAATGAAAAGGCAAAATCAAAAAAAAAGAAGAAAAAAAAGAAGACGAATCTCAAAAAATTAAGCGATTATATATATATATATAGATATCAACAAGCCTTCTACAATCAAAAAGTGAATAAATAGAGAAAAGAAAATAATGAAACTGAACAAAAGTTTATATAGACAACGATACAAATATGTCTCTCAATATCATCTGTACATGTATATATATACGGTGGTCCCTTTTCCTTCACTTTCTACATCCTTGTGAACACCATTGCTTTTGTCTTTCCAAACCCTTCTCCCACCATCTTCCCAAATTTGCAAGAGGTTTTCTTTATGGACAAAGTAATTTAGAGTGTGGATCTTGGGATAAAGAAAATTTAAAATTGAATTTATCAACCAAGTGCTCTTAGAAGAATCACTTATATTATTTGAGGTAGTAACATCAAAAGAAAATTAAAAAATAAAAATTGTAAGCCAACCAAATTTGTTGAAAATTTGAGAAATTTATGTTTGATGGTGTTTCTAGAAAAATGAAAAACTCTAATTTGCGAAAATTTCACAAGGTTTTAATCTAACAAAGCAAAAGCAAAATAAAATTAAAAAATCGGCAGTTCTAGAAGAGTATATGTAACGCCCTCAAAATAAGCCCATAATATCATACAGTCAAGTTACAGGAAAAAGATATTATATTACAATCATCAGAGTATCCTTACGAAATGTATTACACGTTGACAACAAAAGTAACTGCCCTATAGGCTTACAAATTTTCAAGTCAACACTTGGTTACAAAGTGAGAGTACTAACTCAAATACATATTAAGCCCTTGGCTTGAATTTACATGAAATACATCCAAAGGAAACAAAACAACAAATAGTCTGTCTGCCTCTAGCCTCCCAAGCTATGTTCTTGGAGGTGGCATACCGTCGGTACCTGAAAATGAAGTCCCATATAGGGTGAGCCACAGTCCAGTAGAAATATACTAAACCAACTATAAACAATGACTAAAACAATAACATTCAATAGATGGTCCACACTTATATTCCAACTTATGTCATATCACAGTTTCATGACAATCATGCCCATGCTATATTTCACCTTCCATTCCTTATTCGTCATCAAGTTTGAAGACAAGGCTCAAAGTCTGGCCAAATAATTTAATGAGATTATAACTCATCACTAAAATACCTTCAAAATTGAATATGGACACATATTTTGGTGCTGTATCAATAACACATATAACCACTTTCATATTTCACAAATGATAATGATGTACATTTTAGTGCTATATCAAATTATATAAACACTTCTATATTTCACAAATGATAATGATATACATTTTAGTACTATATCAAATCATACAAGCACTTCTATACTTCACAAATGATACACATTTTAGTGCTGTATCAATCTCAAACAAATCCGGTTTAGAGGTCCATCCCCCATCTTCCAATAAATCGTGGAGTACATCCCCCATCTCCTCCCACACAATACAATGTATATAAGCAATTATCATATACGAATTTAAAAAATCAAGACAAGTGATACACATTTTAGTGCTACGTCAATGTCAAACAAAACACTTATATAATTCACAAATGATACACATTGTAGCGCTGTATCAATCTCAAACAAATCCGATTTAGAGGTCCATCCCCCATCTTCCAATAAACCGTGGAGTACATCCCCCATCTCCTCCCACACAATACAATGTATATAAACAATTATCATATACAAGTTCAATCAATCAATACAAAATTTGATGTATTATACCAACCGCCGCATTCGATAACATACCCAATTGATTAGTTATAGTTTGCCTAATCATCATGCATTGTCTACAACAATCAAGACTATCCTCCATCGATAGCCCAAAGCAGTTATTTCTAAACCGAAAATAAATGCACCAAATGGATAAAGTATCAACATTTTATCTAGGTGAGCGAAAGATTAATCCAACAACACCCTTTGATCCCGTACCTTTCCAATTTGAAAACTTCCTATTCAATTTCTCATTTTCCTAAATTAACTATACAAATTAATTTATCAAAACAGTTAGGGCTTTTTCCCATATTTACAACACCAACTCTAAGGTTCCGTTTTCCATCAATAATCCAACACCAAGTCCATCTTCCAAAGTATTACCTACATAAAGGTTTATATGTTTGAAACCCCATCTTTTGAAAATTACCTAAAGACCCCAAAACCTTCTCAAAATTTCCCAACAACCCCCAACATATGAAAATGCCAAAATTTAAAGACAAAGCTCATAAGATGGAGTAGGATATCCCTACCTTGAAGTTAGAGCTCAAATGGTGGAGAGGACCAAACTCAAAGTGCTCCAAACTCCAAATTTTTCGGATCAAAACGTAGCCCTTGACGATCAACACACTTTTTGTAAAGGCCAAAGGGTAGGAGAACACTCTAACTAGATCAATCCTAAGAGAGAAGGGAGAAAGCAGTGAGAGAAGCTCTCAACAATGGCTTTTCGAAAAATTAAGAGAGAGAGTGGAAGTTGAAAAGTGATTCAAAATAGCCTAGCTGTCAACTGATATACGACACCCCCGCTCGAGCGTAGAACATGACGCACGAGCGTCTAGCACAAAAGCTCGACCCGCTCGAGCGCAAGAAGGCCCGCTCGAACTCCAAGACACAAAAACAAAACATATCTGCTCGAGCGCGAAAACCAGTCCGCTCGAGCGTGGATTCTCCCCTCCCAGTATTTTCTCAGACAGTGAACATATGCTCGAGCGCCAAAAGGGCCCGCTCGAGCGCGACCCGCTCGAGCGTGAAAAACAAGCCTGCAGTACTTTTGCAGAGGCACGAAATGCTGGGAGTATGGAATCTCCGCTCGAGCGCACAAGGACCCGCTCGAGCGGACCACTCAAAAACTAGGCAACAAGAATTTGAACTGAGGCTCAACCCACCTCTTCGAAACACGCTCAACACATCCTAAAGCTCAGACATAAGGAATTAAATGATGACAACAAGACATACAACCACCAACTCCACGGAACCTAAGTCCGGAACACTGTATATAAAGGGGACAAACCCGGGATCGCTATAACCTCACCCCCTTAAAGAATTTCGTCCCCGAAATTAAGAAAACAACGCAATTAAAAGGTCAACCGACCACAAAATACTCAACACCCGAGCACTTAGGGAAGAAACTATTCTCTCAACAAATTTGTAGTTAAGTTTCATAAAAGAAAGGACTAACTAAGGAAATACGTTCCACAGACAACAGTCAGGCACAAAAGACCTCAACAAAACCAAACTCTTCCCGAGATAAATCACCAAAACACCCGACTAGCGCTCCCAGCTAAGTCACCTCTCAACAATTATAATTCCAAATAAAACAACCAACGCATGCTCAAACATCCACAAATAGATCCGGATAGTTCTCTCGAACCTGAAATTCACTTACCCAAGTGGTTTTCTCTAACCTCGTTATGTTTCCACGACACCTTGTTTAATGGAAGGATCCTGTCCTCCAAGACCCGATAACAATGATAATAGTAAGCCACACGCAACCACTACAGTGCTCTGAGATATCCACTACGTCTCGACTATCGACAATACCCAAACCAGTATTTAGTACTTACTACCCCAACATCGGAAATATGAAATCATTTGTACACAAGGCTTCCAGTCGACTTTCACAAAACAGGAACGCAAGACGAAGCAAGGGAAAGGAACAACATTACAGCCCATTTACACCCTAAAATTTCAAGGTCTGACCAAAAACACACAACATGTAACCAGCAACTCAGGCTAGGTCAAATCTAACTT